ACAATTTTATAAAGGAATATTTCGATGTCTGTTTGATTATAATAGCCCAATGTTTTTGTAAAAAAAATATATATACATTAAGTTTTATTTAATTTATTATATATAATATTTTGTAAATTATAAAGAGCAATAAAGTTTCACTGCCAAACGTTTTTTTATAAATAAAATCTCTCTACTAATTATCCAAATAAATTTTAGATAAACATGGTATGCCGAATTTATTTACAAACTAAGTTCTCGACCGACCAACCAAAACTCTAATTTATGAACGATTTAAAATATTAATAGAATCCTTTACAGATAGAACCGGATTTCAAACGAATTTTGCATGGGAAATCTGTACCATAAATAATTTGAAATGTCGCAAAAGAGTATACGTAATTTGTACCATAAATAATTTAAAATTAACAAATCAGATATATTATACACGTGAATATCAAAAGTCGTTGAAAATTTGAATTTAAATCGGATGACCAAAAGAAGTAAGTCAAAGGCTTTGACCCATTCTTTTAATCAACTTTCCACAAATGATTTTCCCATCAATATCTTTCAATATATATAGATATCTTATAGTAGGTATCTAATAAATTAAAGGCAAAATTGCATATAAAAGCACCACCTTTCATGTTTTTGCATTTTAATCACGACCTTCGCATATTAGCACTTAAGTACATGACCTTTCATCCCTTTGCAAGTCGAAGCACGCCTTTCATCTCCAACACCAATAAAATGATGTGGCTTCCCAGAATACACATGTGGAACTAAAAGAAAAAACGAGAAAAATCTAAATCCACTTTGTCCAGTCTTTTTTTGACACGTCGACTGCACCAAAAAATTAAAAAACTAAAATTGAAATCCACGTCGCCTTGCAGAAAATCCCTAAATCAAAGAAGAATGAAGCTTAAAAAAATCCTCTGTAAAGGTCATCTCTTAACACAACGATGATACCTCCGAGCTGAATTTTTATTCGTGTTTGAGGTTAGCATTTCCACTTCCAAATTATGGAAACACATACGAGGCTGATGAGTTGTTCGACTACTAGATCCACTCGACATTTTCAGGAAAAATTGGGGATTTTGAAAACACAATTAGGGGTCGTATGGGAAGAGGAATTGGAATTTTGGGGTGCTAATTCAGGGTTGTGGAGAAAGTTTACAAAAGTTGAAGAGCATATGATTCACAGAAATTTTGCAATTTTCATAGAAATTTCGCCATCTTCACAGAAATTGAAGATCAAAATTAGGGTTCGATTGTGTGTGTGAATCTGTGACGGGAGACTTAAATAATCGATTTGGGGGAGAGAAGACGACGTGGATTTTGTGTTTTTTAACTTTTTTTTTAATCTATGTGTTATTACGAGAATGGGCCACATGGAATTCATTTTTTTTCTTTTTTTGAACATTCCACATGTGGATTCCGACGAGACACGTCAGCTCTATTCCGGCGAGGTAGAAGGCATGCATGATTCGATTTGCAAAGAAGCAAAAGGTCATGTACTTAAGTGCTAATATATGAAGGTCGTGATTAAAATGCAAAAGCATGAAAGGTGATGCTTTTATATGCAATTTTGCCTAAATTAAATCAAATTCTAAAAAAATTATATCCAAGCACCTCATAAAAGTTGGATGAAATATGACTTATGCAGGTGGATTTCGTGAAAAGGAAAAAGCTACTTGTACAACTTTTCTGTACAACATTCAATGACAACATGATGTGGCATAATGTGGGTGGTTGAGATGCAAATAAAAGTATGGTTAAGATTTGAGTTAATGATACTTTTAACTAATGTTACCAACTAATGTTATAAACTACAATTGTACATATAACATTGCCCGAGTGAAAAAACAATAGCTCCTTTCATAAGTTAAGAGTGTGTTTCGTAGACATTATAAGCAAATTTATAGCTTATTTAATCCATAAGTGGGAAATGGAGGTGCTGACACGTGGAGTGCTTGAATCCATGGATGGAGAACAAAGTTTTTAATCTTAGGCGTCCACTTATTTTAGTATTTTGTTAGTTATAAGGGCATCCACCACCCATATATTCATTCAATAAAAAATTAACACCCTATTTAATTCATATCATCTCCACATTATCTTTCCACTAAACATATCTCCATTTAAACACACATCCACATTCATATTCATTCATTTAAATACATATATATGGGACTCATTATTCATTCATTCAATAAAAAATTTAATATTCCATTCTTAATACAAATAAAAATTTAATATTTTTAAATTATAATAATAAAATTTAAATGCATGAAAATAAAAGAACACTACAAGACTACAATAACTTAAATTAAGATTACACATGAAAAAGTAGTACAACTAAAAAAATAACTTTTTTAATTGGTGGCAAAATGAGTCCAAATATGTTCAACTAAGTCGGCACGAAGTTGATGATGCATTGTGTTATCTCGTATCTTTGAACTTCTACGAATATAATTTTGAAATTCTCCATTTGAACCCTGAACATATTGTGCAGGCTCGTCATCCTTGTCATTGTGTCAAAATTTGTTACTAGATCTCCTTCACCTTCAGCAATCATATTGTGTAGAATAGTGCATGTGAACATAATAAATTGCAGTTTTCTTCTATACCAAAACCGACTTCTTAAATTATTGATACATATTTTGGAAGTGCGATATAAATAAAAAAAAAAATTAAATATAAAATAAAAGAAAAAATTAAATAATTAATTATTATTTTTTTTTAAAAAAAGAAAGAAAGCATCAAATAAATGCGTTCAGTAGGCTGAACTGACCTATGGGCCTCTTTTTAATGGATGAGCCACATTCATGTTAACCGCATGGGCATTTAACGCCCAACAATCAAGTAATCAATTCATTCTTCTCTCCCATTCCTCTCTACCTTCTATCTCACTCATCTCCCTCTGTCTTGTTCTCTATTCATCAATATTCCATTTAGAAACATAATTTAGGTTGATATTTTCCTTCCCACTTATATGAACAAACACGTGTCAGCGTAAGAGTAACACATATGAATAAAATATTAAAGAATTGAACAGTGTCCGACATTACTTATGGTATTTAATACTTTTTTTTCGAAACCAAACAGCCACACAGCTGAATCTAGGAGGCCTACATGAATGTAGTCTAGAAGCATCTATACTAACGCACCACAATACAACAAATTATACAGCTCCTAACAAGAGAAGAACTATACAACTCCTAACAAGAGAATAACATGCTCCCAATGGTGAATACATGCTCCCAACAGGAGAATACACACTCCCACAGGAGAAACAACAACACAACAACTAAAACAGAAAACAAACAAAACAAACTACCCACACTGAACAACACGCACAAACAAAGAAAAAAAAAAAAGAAGAACAAACCCCTCCGCAACCGCCCATAACCAACCGAAAACTACCAAACGACACGGATCCCAAAGAAGGAAAACCGGCCCGATCCATATCTAGAAACTGCACTCAAAGGCATAACTAAATCCGAACCAAAATGAGCCCGAACTCCATTCAACGGAACCAACATGGACTACACCGAGAGCCCAACACCAATCTAGCCCCCCAACACCAAATCGGACGGCAGTCGACCACCAATATAGTATTTAATACTTAACTTAGATTAGATATGACCATCATACGACCTTCCTGTATTCAATAAAATATGAAATAAAAAATGCATTCAATAAAAGTGTGTGAATATGGAGTTCATTAGTTTAGAAATTCATTTACTTTTTGACATTTTAAAAAGAATGTCTATTATTTTAAACTTCAAAACTGTTTAGAAAAATTAGAACAATTCAGATCTTTCAAAGTCTTAAAAGTTCATGAATTATCCAATATATTTATTGTTTGGTTTCGTTTACATTTCCTAATATTTAATTATATTTCAATAACAACAATCGAATCACACACAATCATACACACCAAGATCAATGAATATTTGTTGATCCAAATGATTGAATTATACACGGGCATACAGATTAACATGAATGAATATTTTTAACATAACTATAAAGGGCCATTACCACTATTCATTATCGCTATAGAGGGCCATTACCACTATTTTTAATCTCAACTGTTAAAAACTCCACTACATGTGAAATTCACCCAAAAAGGTGTTGGACATTTCAATTTCACACACAATCATGAAGCATAAAGAATTTCAGCATCAGGGTATGAAATTGGGAGTCATTATGTGACTACCGCGATTTAACTGGAGACACTTTTTGAGGGGTCGGGGCTGTTTCTTCGAGGATTAGTTTGACGCAAACCTGAAATATCGGTGTAAAAAAAAAAAGAATTTCAGCATGAACACACGCATTTGAAAAGTGGACTATAAATTATAAAATATAAATTCCTTTTGGAATCATTCAAATCAAAAAAGCTAGCAGATTCATGATTTATAATGCAGCTTGGCAAAAATTAAAATAAAATACATTACTCCCTGCTACTTCTCTTTTCCCCCATATTCTCACGCAATTAAGGTGGCTTTATAAATAAATATATTTCGGCTTGAATTTAATTTATTAGATACAATAAATAAAAAAAAATGATTGAGTGAAAATTTGAATTTGATTTTATGTCAATTGAATAAACATGAATTAAAATGTAGTGATTCAAGGTGATATAATATAAAAGTACTAAAATAATGATCTATAAATTGTTAGTAATTAAAAAGCAGAAATACTATAGATACATAATATTGTATATAAGGATGTACATAACACTCCGTCACTCACAACCGACCAAAAATAAAAAATCAAGTAGACCTCACTCAATGTCAGTGTTTTATACACTTCTATGTACATTTATTATGTAATTGTAACATTTTTTATTAAAAATATATAAGTGAGTGAAAAAATAAATTTTATTGAAAAATATGTAATAATGGTTGATTTATAGTATTATTTAATTATATTAATAATATTTGATAGAGTTAAATTATATTATATGAATACTAAATTTTGAGTTAAAAAATTTTATTAAGAGGTTGGACTGGACCCATAAGAAAAAAATTCTAAATGAAGAAAAAAAAAATACCAATAGCATGGCATAGCACCCAAAACAAATTATAAATACAGCTTTGAAAACCTCCAAAAGTACACATATCGAAAAACGAAAAACAAAAGGAGAGAAATTAGTCCTAAATAAAAAATGGCATTCTCCTCCACAATCGCGGCGGTCCTCACGGTCTTGGTCTTGGCGGCAGCCGCCGGACCTGCGGCGGGGCAGATGCAATGCGCCTCCGACCTGGTCCCCTGCGCGGACGCCTTAAACTCCACGCATCCGTCGAGTGCCTGCTGCTCCGCCATACGGCAGGTCGTGACAACCCAGCTGACGTGCCTCTGCTCCCTGTACAAAAATCAGGCGGCCCTTACCGGGATCAACATGACACAAGCGCTTCAGATCCCTCGGTACTGCAACATCTCCAATGACGTCAGCGTCTGCAATGGTACGCTGCCTTCGATTTTCCCCCTCTTTTTCTTAGGGATTTGTAGATCGGATAAAATTTCGAGGTGAAATTGTGTGGTTGGTTTGAATTTATTATTCCTAAAAAAATTGTAATTTCTGCTGAGGAGATCAGAGAAGTGAAACGATTTGCGAAGTTGTTAGTTTCATTAATTTGAGTTTGGTTTCGCTTCGTCGTGTTCTTTTTTTTTTTATTTATTTATTAATGGATCCTGCAAGTGTGTTATCTCAAGTCAAATGAGCTGCAGCTCGATTAGATTAAGGCTCTAAAATATGGTTTTTTTTATGTAATTCATTTATTTTTTGTATGTGTCCACTAACATTGAAGTAAGTTTTCACCTGTGAATATTAATATGGAAGAAAAAAAAGTAAGTGCTTTGTTTTTTTGTAATTGGATAAATTGTGCAATATTGAATTATTTATGATCTTTTCTTGTTCTTTTATCAGCTGTGGCTCCAACAGGTTCCTCTCACCACCCACCTCCAGGTATCAACTTTTCACAATTTCTTATTTTTTTTTAAATATTCAAATATTACGTTTTTTTCCCCTTTTTTCTAGTTAGTTTGATGAATGTATTTAAACTAATATAAATGAAGAATTAAGTAGATATGGCCCAATGTATTAAAACTAACCATTATTCCTGATGAACATGGACTATATATATATATATATATTTTCCTTTTTTTTTCCCTAATACTTAAAAGTTGTTAGATTTTATGGTGAAATTGACAATTTGCCTCTCTCAAATTTCAAAGCAAACGTTTCTTTCTTTCTTTTTTTTTTTTAATTCAATTA